CTTTGTGTCTGTCCCTTTTACATCTTTGAAACATTCTTCTCTTCCTCCCCTCCCCCCTCTCGACTTTTTTCCACTTTGACGTGAAGCCTGAAGTCAGCTAAAGGGCTAATGTTAACTATCATAACGCCTGCCATTCGATATAAATAAATAAATGAATTATGAATGATATTTTAGAAAAAATAAGACATTTTAGAAAACGAATCAAATAATAATTGAATAAAATTTGTATTTAAAATAGTACTTATCGAACAATGGAGTAAAATTAATTAAGTTTAAATTTTTAAATCAAAGTGGATTAGTATTTGAGTGGAACTAATTCATTTATTTATTGCAAATGGCATGTGTTTTGAATAGTTATCATTGGCCCTTCAGCTGACTTCTGACTTTACAGAGGGAAGGAACAGACAAAGTCTCTAAACGTGGAGAGGGGGGGGGAAGAGGAGGTTCGCAGATGTATAATACAAAGTCTGACACAAAGGTAGTGAAAAAGGTAAGGTGAGTACTGTGAAAGTGGTCGAACAATCATTACAGTGGGATCATGGTAGTTTGAATTCAGAAGTCAACTGCCGGTTAATAGACTTTATTGCCGAATGGGTAAACGTTGCCTAACGCGCACCACTAGGAGGTAAGTCTATCTCACACCCCGTATTTGAGTGGAACTAGGTGTTGATAAAATGTTTTTTTTCTTTTCGTTGAAAATATCCGAGCTCAGAGGAAAGTAAAGATTGTTGAAAAGTAAATTAATCGGACTGGGGAAAAGGTTGAGACTTTAGTTTCCTTTCCAGGGGTGTGCGATAGACTTACCTCCACGTGGTGCACCCTGGGCAAAGTGTACTCATACGACGAAATAGTCTATTAACCGGAAGTTGACTTCTGACTTCAAACTACCAACACCCCATTGTATGTCATATCCTACTACTTCCACAGTACTCGTCCAACCTTTTCTCTGCCTTTGTGTCTGTGCCTTTGATGTTCCTTCCCCCTGTGAAGCCCGAAGTCAACTAAAGGGCTAATGATAACTATCAAAACGCCTGCCATTTGAAATAAATAAATAAATAAATACTTTTATCTAGTAGTAAAACAATTGTAATTCTCTGCTGATGATCTTGTTGATGGTGTGAGAACGTAAATTTTTGTAAGATTTTGAAGCTTCGCACTTAACCNACAAAGGTAGTGAAAAAGGTAAGGTGAGTACTGTGAAAGTGGTCGAACAATCATTACAGTGGGATCATGGTAGTTTGAATTCAGAAGTCAACTGCCGGTTAATAGACTTTATTGCCGAATGGGTAAACGTTGCCTAACGCGCACCACTAGGAGGTAAGTCTATCTCACACCCCGTATTTGAGTGGAACTAGGTGTTGATAAAATGTTTTTTTTCTTTTCGTTGAAAATATCCGAGCTCAGAGGAAAGTAAAGATTGTTGAAAAGTAAATTAATCGGACTGGGGAAAAGGTTGAGACTTTAGTTTCCTTTCCAGGGGTGTGCGATAGACTTACCTCCACGTGGTGCACCCTG